CCTGCACCGCCTACGGGCTGGGCCGGGGCGTCGTCTCGGCTGCCAGCGTTCACCGCGGACATTCCGAGGCCATTACTTGACGACATCAGAGTTCATAACTGGACTTTTTCCGGCAGGGACTTTGTTCGTTGTATCATGGTGAACGTTCCTCACTTGTTTGTGGCACGTGGTTCTCTCTTAGGTGCTGTGCTGTCTGAACACACCACCCCCATCACATACACATGCATCATACACACATCACATTACACCGCACACATGCATCACATACACATGCATCACATACATCACACATTACACCACACACACGCATCACATACACATGCATCATACACACATCACATTACACCACACACATGCATCACATACACATGCATCACATACATCACACATTACACCACACACGCATCACACACATGCATCACACACATTACACCACACACACGCATCACATACACATGCATCACATACATCACACATTACACCACACACATGCGTCACATATAACTATACATCCCTCACACACATGCATCACACCACACACACATCACACAAACATCACGCATGAACACATGTATCACATACACACACGATACACACACATGCATCACAGACATCACACACACACATCATACACACACGCCCTGGGTCCGCCTCCTCTTCGTGGCAGACTCGGCTGTTGCTTGCTCTGGCCATCCTTTGAAGGTGGGGGCGCTCAGAACATCCCTCATTTTTGGAGAATTCTCGGCCCTTCTGCCCCCAACGCTGCCCTGCTGGTGCCCTTGTGCCCGAGCTGGCGCCCGGTGGCGCGTGGGGCCGCGTGCTCCCCTCTGCACCGTCCGCGCTTTCTCCGCCTCTGCACCCGGACACCAGGGCTCCGCCCTCCTCCGTGTGGCGTGGGCGGGTCCTCACGCCCAGCTGTGGCATCTTCCGTCCAGAACTAAGCTCCGCCCTCTTGCGCTGCCCACTGACACCTCCCTCCTCTCCTTAGTGTTCTGGCGCGGCAAAACAATTCACGTGATTCATTTGTGCTGTCCTCCCCTTTTGTTGTGTGAGACTGATCTGTGGAGTTTACTTCGGTTCATTGTACTTCTCAGTTATACCAAGTTATTATATCTTCCTAACTTTGTGCCAATTGCTTTTCCCGAACGCTTGCTTCCAGCATGTTTGCGGTTTGCTCACTGACAACGCACGTTCTATGGTGGCTGCTTTAATTTTCCCACGTTAGTTCCAATATCTTCTGTCTTGGTGTTGGTGTCTGATCCATGTGTCTTTCATCCCAGTTTGAGATCCCTTTGCGGTGTGTCTAAGCTGTGGCGAGTG